CTTTCCTTCCTTCCTTCCTTCCTTCCTTCCTTCCTTCCTTCCTTTTCAGTCTATGACTCTTTCTACTTGTGTGTGTGTGTTTTTTCTTTCCAAGGGTTGAAAGAAGATGCAGTAATTCACTTCTGATGGTTTCTTCTTCTGTGTGGCATGAAAAACTAATCCCCTTTCTAGGCTATGGGGATTTTCTGCTAGACTTTGCATGTCTGCTGAAATGCATTAAATTGATGCACTCTGCTGCATAGAAAGATGTAGCTTTAGCACATGGACATTTTTGATCAGATGTGCATGTTTAGTTAAAATACCTGCATCGACTCAGAGCCTCTTGCTTCCCTGCTTTTATTACTGAGACCAGCTTATCTGTCAGTGAAATCTAATGGTTACATTTGATTTCTAGTCTCAGGTGGAAGAATACAGGCAGTTGAAGGACACCTTAAAAAAGATGCCCAGTTTCCAGAAACCTGAAAAATTTGAGCTGCCACATGGTTTGCCTGTGACACCTGTGCCTTCTCCTCTGAGTGATTCCAAAATACATGGCACAGATGCAGCTAAAGAGCAAAAAGAGGTAATATGAGCTGACTGTACTAAGGCAAAGCAATCTTATTTAATCATCATCATGGTAATTAGCATTGATACAGTGCTTTGAATATTATTGCAATAGTCCATGTAACAACCCTATAAAAAAGATCAGTATTATCATTGCAAAGGGCAGGGGAAGAGAAGCTGAGAATGACAAATGATTTAATCCAGATATCACATTAAAACACAGTTTAAAAAACCTTGAATAGTAGTTTCCTAAGATAATCTTGTTTTCACTCAGCCAGGATATGAAAACTTGGAATTATAGTCTTCAGACAATGATTTGTGACCATTATGGCATTAGCCGCCTCCAACTATAATAAAGAACGCTTACTTTATTCTGGCAATTATTTAATAAATACCAAGTTTCCAGCCATAATAAGGATCTGTTTTATAGCCAAGGCTTATACTGGAATCTGTTCTCACTTCCAGAGCTTCCTCTTGGGGTAGGTGAAAAAGTGCCTCTCCCCAACATCTGGGGGAGAAAAAATCATACATATTAGGGAAAAATACTTTCAGTTGCAGGTTCTGATGTATTTCTTCATTTTCCTGCTGCAGCTTCAGAGGTAGGAAGTCTGCAAACTGTTTCTGGATTAGAGAAAATTTTGGAGAAAATTCTTGAATCTGATTCCCATTCCATCAGTACCCCCGACTTCTATTCCTCTGTTCCAAGCCTATGAATTAATCGTGAATCGAATTTCCAAATTTCCAAATGGCAGAAAAGCACTATACATGCATAACAAGGACAGCATCAGCTGGCTTTGGGAACCCTGAGGTTTGCAGGAGAAAAATATATTGTAGGGTGGGGTGGGGAAATCTCCAAAGTGGACAGGAGGGGGAATTATACCAAAGGCGGCCTAATGGCAACCAAGTACAATTAATGGCCATAGAAAATGCCAGTTTAGGACTATCCGAGGAAAAGGCCGTCTGACCAGAATTCTGAAGAGATCATCTAACTGTCCTGAAGTGAGTTGCAAGACCCACTTGCCCTTTTTATGATGATCATTTTGAGTAATTTGATCTGCTTCCATTTTCATGCAAATGACATGAATCTTATAAGCATTGTACATTTTTCAGATCATGATGCCTATCACACCAGCATTGCTTCTACTGGGCATGTATGCCTGGTTTGTGTATCACTCTAACGAGGTTATCAACTCAGTACCCTCCAAATATTATAGATTTCATACACACGAACACATACACATATGTGTGTATGTATGTGTGTGTGTGTGTGTGTGTATATATACACACACACACACACACACACACATAATATATATATATATATGGATTTTAATTACAATAATAAAATATAATGCAAACTAAAAGAAAGAATAGAAAGAATGAAAGGTGCAAGGAGAAGAAAAAAACATAGAAAATAGAAAGAAAAAAGAAAGAAAAGAATATAGTAAAGAGAGAGAAAGGAAATATATAAAGAAGAGACTTCCAATCTTCATCACAAGTATTAACAATTTCTGTAACTCTTCACTGCCTCTTAATTTACAACCAAAAATCTCTTCATCTCATATCCCATCTCATCTCTTATAGACAAATACATAAAGCATCGTCTTTTCAGTTCTAGGGTCAGCAGAAAGTCCATTAAGGGTATCAGTTCCAGACAAAGTGGCTGTTGGAATACAGAACATATATAGGAGACCAGTTTCTATTCTAACCCATAATTTGGTTGGTAGGACAAATTCCATGTTATATGTATAACACTAAGTGTTATAGAATTTAAACCGCAATGGAACTGTTAGATCGACATAGGGTGAAAGGACAGTGGTGAAATGTTATTTCTAGATATTCAGTTTTTTTAATTATGGAAAGGCATCTGTGATCATCTCGAGAGGGCTGTCTGCATTTCCAGCACTGTGATGTAAGACTCCCTTTGTTACATAAGTCCAAGGTATTAAAGAATCCAGCAGAAAGCTATCAGAAATGGTCAGTCACCATTTAAAATGAAACAAAACAGAAACTACTCACAAAAATGTTTCTGTTGGGATCTTAGTGTTTGCTAAGCTTAGTTGCTATCACAAAAACTGATCAGACTTAGCTACCTTTTGTCAGAAAACTTAACAAGGATACTTACAGAGCGGTTCCACTTGAATCCATAACTGGCTTTGGCCTTTACACTTTAGCCTGTTGAAGATCAAGCATGTTCATTGCACCAAATAGAAGATGGCAGTATTTTTCAAGTAAGCACATTAAAAGTGACCAGTTTGTGCCTTAGTTGGACTAATCAGGGGTTTTCTGGGTGAGTTCTACAGTATGTGTTTAGTGTCAGGTAGAGTCAGGAAAATCAAAATGGGATGTGTTAAGTCAAGCCCAGAATAACTTAAAAAGTAAAAGATACTTCAAGAACAAAGCATGGTAGTATACCAAAACACATATAGGTAGTCCTCACTTACCAACCACAGTTGGGACTGGCAACTTCATTACTAAGTGGCATCTTCGTTAAGTGAAACATCACATGACTGTGCAGACTTATGACATCTGTTTTGGCTGCGGTTAACTGAATCACCGCAGGTTGTTAAGCATGATTTCATGTGACCACGACTTGCAACTTTCTTCTGGCTTTCCCATTGACTTTGCTTGTTGGAAGCTGGCTGTGAAGGCCACAAATGGCAATCACGGGATGCTGTGACCATTGTAAATGCACACTGGTTGCTAAGTGCCTGAATTGTGATCACATGACTATGGGGACGCTACGATAGCCACAACTTTGAGGATAGGCTGCCTCTTTTTTCAGCGCTGTCATAACTTTGATTGCTGAATGAGTGGTCAGTAAGCAAGCATTACCTGTATAAAATTAGTTTAACATGAATAAAATAGAATAATCAGGGACACCCTACTTCAAGCAGTTGTTTGCCTTTCATCATAGCCTGTTTACAGAATCTGGCTATGCTATCTGAAATGTCTATCCTGATCAGGTAGTAGGTAGTTATCCTCCATCCTGCCTAGGTATCATGTTATAGATGGCGAAATAGAGCCCGAATGTGTCTACAAAAGAGGCAGCACAGCAATACATGGCCCACAGTTTTGATTTCTCCTCACCACATAGGCAGAGATAGTGGCTTTTAGAAACATTGCAAAATCTGCCCTCAGATTTCCCACGCTCCTCAGGAGATGAAAGAAAATATTTTTCTCCCTGAGCCTGGCCTTCATAATTCCATTCCATCACAGACACTAAGTTCACATACTTACTTTTCTAATCACTTTCGGAAAGTGCTTAACTGCTTTTCAGCTATTAGGAACCCTTGGATCAACAAGTCTGAAAATACCGGGTGTGTTTCCTTCAATCCTTAGTGAAATAAGTTTTAAATACAAGTTTAAGGACTTAAAATTTGGGGGGGGGGTGGAATAATTGGCCAAAGGGTAATTAGAATTTTGATTTTGGAAAGTTACAAATGGATTAAGGGTCCAGATGGATTTGAAATAA